GACACGGGGGGCTGTCACCCACACCGTGTCCAGAGTGTGGCCAGTGCAAGAGGGTCTCGGGAGGGAGGTCGTGGCCAAGGGGAGAGGGTGGCCAGGGAGGGATGGGGGGAGAGGGAGGGGGCAGAGTAGGGGAGAGGGGGGCCAAGAAGGTAATGGGGGCTGGGGGCCGGGCCAAGAGACTCGGCCTGGCCCCTCCACGGAGAGCAGCGTATGGCTGCGTCTGTCTGGGCTCTGCTGCTTGCTCTTCCTTTAACTCTCTGCTGCCATGGGCCCCTGAGGTCACCCCGGTCCCCTTGGCTTTGTCTTCATCTTGACGCCACTGGAGAGCTAATCTAACCACGGCCACCGCGTGCCCTCTGCAGGGGTCCGCCAGCTGGCCCCCCGCCAGGCCATCCCTCTGGGGCCATCAGTAGACCCTCTGGGGCTCAGGACCGGTTTCCCACCTGTCCGGCGGGTCCTGTCGCCTGTCTCACTCCTGCAAGCCTCCCAGCCATTTCCAGCGCCTCACTCTGGCTTTTCACACCCAATCTATGAAAAGACTGGCTGGCAACTCCTCAGCATCTCCCCCCGCCCCCCGTCCCTCCCGCTCGCTCGCCTCTCCCCACCTCTGCGGCCCCGGCTCTGAGCCCAAGGTCAGGACCTGTGCCCTATGTCCTTCCTGGGATGACCGCAGGCCCTGGCCGAATGCCCTGCCCTCAGGGTCTTTAATTTCCTTGTGTTGGCAGTGGGACCACCACAGTTAGCGCTGCAGCCCCCCCCGGGCTATCTCATGATGAGTTCACACTGGTCACACTGGGACGCAGTTTTCTGCAGGGCAGAGCCAGCCAGCCCACATCACACACGTTCAGCAAGCAGGGCCCCACTTGGAGGGCCACGTCCACATAGGCAGAGCGGGCCCTAGTGACCTGTCCAGCAAAATGCTGGTAGCTCACTGGACACAGCAAGGTGCCCCATGATCCTCAGCAACACAAGCAGCTTGTTTCTTAATTATCTGTTGATTGAATTGTCTCTGACCTGAGAAGAAGCCTGCGGCATTGTGGTTAAAGTACACAGCTGTTAGCTGGAAGGTTGGTAGTTCAAACCTACCAGCTGATGCATGTCAGAAAGATGTGGCAGCCAGCTTCCATTAGGATGTGCAGTCTATCGACTCAATGGCAGGGGATTTGGTTTTTTGATTTATGTAAATACACATCTTGTGGGGCAGCCCTACTCCATCTTACAGGGTTGTTATGAGTTGGAATCAACTCGATGGCAGTGGGTTTAGATTTTTTGGTACACACACTCTCTCACACACACACTCACACACACTCACACACTGCCATCAAGTCGATTCTGACTCATACTGACCCTGTTGGACTAAGCAGCACAGCCCCCAGGGGTTCCAAGGCTACATCTCAATAGAAGCAGACTGCACATCTTTTGCCACAGAGCAGCTGGTGGGTTTGAACCACTGACCTTTCAGTTAGCAGCCAAGTGTTTAACCACTATGCCACCAGGGCTCCTCTCTCCCCCTCTCTCCATACACACACACACGCACATACATATTCT